AATCCAAGAGATAAAAATAAGCAAATCCATCGCCTGTGTTTTTGCTGGTTTCTTTTTTTGCTGGATACCAATGTGGAGTTTGTCTCTTCTCAATCGATTCTACCCAACACCAGTTCCCAGAGTGGTGCCATTGTTGGTGATATTTTTCGTGTTTTTAAGTAGTTCCATCAACCCTCTTATTTACGCGGCGAAAAATAATGGATTTAGACAAGAGTTTCGCAAAATGCTGTCTTGTCGTCGGCAACGAAGGCAAATTGTCCCGAGACAAAAAAGAGCTGGGGCAATCGTGGAGAACATTGAACTACATGAGCATGCAGATGTCTGCAGAAATGTCACGTATATGGCCATTTTAAAGATGAGTGCGAACGGAAGTATTCTTTAGAAAAGATATCCAAGATGAATAGAACCCAAAATTAGTTGCTTTATTCTAACTTCAATACACCATTGAAGTTAGAAATAAACCTAACTGGAAGTGGAAGGATTTTTTTAGATTTTCCAATGAGACTATTGTACTTGAAAACTACTTTGATTGCCATTTCCTTTTTTTCAATTTTTATTTTCATTTTATCATATTTTTACAGTTTTTAAAGGCTTTCTATTAGAAGGTAGAAAGCTCAGTATAAGTTTTAGATTATTTTTTTACAAGAGGAAGTATTGTTGTATTATTATTATTATTATTATTATTATATTATTATTATTATAAACACACTGTCAGAAATTGAAATTCTTTTTCTTCTCCGGATTTATTTTAAAGACTCCCGAAGATCAGCCCGGAAAAAGTAACATACTTTTTTCATGACTTCGTCATCTACTTTTGTAGGAAATATTATCAACCTTTATTTCGATCACGATTGAAACGCTCAAGGGGGCACCTCATAATTAAAATAGACTCTTCGGAGAAGTTGAGTATGACGGATAGGGATGCTTCTTTTTTAGGCCAGATGAACACAGACAGGACATTTTTCACGAGTTGAAGTATAACATACAGCAAGGTACACCGTGTGTTTAAATAAATTCTTTCCAAAGGCCGATTAGTGTTGGTATGATTCATGATTACTGGTTTCCTAGGTAGTGGTTTCCTGCTTAGCTTTAAATGACTTGAATTAAAGACATTCAATATTTATTTTAGCGGTTAGTTAGGCTTATTTCAAAATAGAAGCTTTTCAGAGCGGAATCTATTTACTCTCTCTAAGACTAGACTGACGAAGCGAAATGTTCTCCCGGTTTTCGTAGACACCCACTTATCTCATTTGCGGCGAAAAGGCTGACGAAAAAACCGTTGTTTTTCGGTTGGTTAATAATAAGATTCTCAAAGTCTTCAAAGACCATTTATCTCAAAGTCAATTCAGTCCCTTAAAAATCTTGAGAAAATTAATGTATAATGGTTCTATTATCGGATCGCCACTTTCTCATTGGAAAAACAGAGCACCTTGTGAGGGAAAAGCCGAAATTTATACCATCAATTAATTCTTGACTTTGTTAAATAAAACCAGAAACTCCAGCTAGTAGTATTATATATCAAAACATCGTTTTTTATTGTACAATCTTGTTAGCCGGATAAACGTAATCGAATTATTGCAAGTTCCATTTTGACATATTGTGGCTAATATATGCAGAGCAGTTTACTTCTTTATTCTGGCTCTTGCCAAAAGTTCTCTTTATTTGCCTCCACAGGTTGTTGGCAACCACTTAACTTTTCTTATTTGACAAGGCCTGTATAAATAACTAATTTTTCTTTTACAAAATTTTTGCTTCTTTACTAACGTCCCAAATGAATCAAAGGTTTGGTGTCCTAGATTAACATTAATTAAGCTACTGCTTCTCTCAAAAATTAAAATAACTAATGAAAAGGATAAAAAAAAGGTTAATGAAACACAAAATACTAAGAACTAATTAACTTAATGCATCATTTATCGACATTCTAAGGAGTGTTTACATTCAATTAAGTCAGGATATAGAAGAATGGAGTTTCATCTTCCTCAGTTCTATCAAGTTCAGATGACAAACATTTTCGTGTCAAACTGATCTAAACTAATCACTCGGTGTCACCAAGGTACTGATGCATGATCGCAATTGTCTTAAAAGACCTACTTGGGATTTTTCTTTTCCAGTCGTTTGCTGTCGAGTAAGCTCCACCATCTTTGTAAATTTAGATCGTTAATTAATTTTGTCTGGAATGAGCTATTTAGGAACCTGTGAAGGACCAATTTGTTAAGTTTTTGTGGGAATAACAGTGAACTATTTTAAATTCAAAAAGTTCGAAAAATTATGCATATACAGCATTGTCTATCACTGAAAAAAACTTAGATGTAACTCATTAATTTTTAAAAGGTGTGTTGAATTAAAACAAAATTTGTCACGTTCTAGGTGAATTTTGGCGACAAATTCTGTGGTCGCTCTAGATCACTAACACTTAGTCATTATGATAATGATGAGTCACAGAACATTGCTTTAATTAAAGATAACAAACATGAATTTCAAATGCCACAGTTGATAATTCACATGTTCGTTTCCAATTCTTGGCCTCTGTTTTCATTTAAGTTTTAATTACCTGCTCTGGGATGAAATTGGGAAAGTGAGTTTATTTGAAAATTTTGCGGTTCAGGATTTTCATGCAAATTTTTGTTTCCTTTTCTATGGGAGTGGGGGCGTTAAATGGTAGGTTGGGCTGGTGGAACAAAATAGGTCATGGGGAGGGTTAACGCCAATTCAAACTTTAATTTAGTATATTGTAAATATTTATAAGTTATCTAACATTTAACTGAAAGGGCTTCATTACATGAATTTCAAGTGCCACAGTTGATAATTTACATGTTCGTTTCCAACTCTTGGTCTCTTTTTTCATTTGCTCTAGTCACTTTGAGTCCTTCAACAGCCAGATCGGAACCTTGGATACGTCTCTTTTTCCACCAACACAGCATTCTGTAGAATTCATTTCGAAAAGCTCGCTTAGTGGCAGCGTAGATAAAGGGGTTAATTGTACTGCTAAGAAAAAGAAGTTGTATCGCCGCCAACTGTATGCCTCTAGGGGCTGTCTCGCGCGAAAAGCGCATCCAAAACAAAAACGCCCACATGGGAACCCAACTTAGTAAAAAGCCAGCTATAATAAACGCTAAGGCTCGGCAAACCTTAATCTCTTGCACCGAAACTTTTCCAAATCTGTTCACGTTCGTCTCCAGCGAAGGCGCAACGTCATTGTTGTGTTTAAGGGTTTTAGTGAAAATTTTATAATAGCTATAACAAGCGATGGAAAGTGGGAAGACCAAACTCAGCGCGAATAGAACACAGTAGTGAGCGAATCGACTCTCTGCTGACATAAAAACCACGCTGCAAACTGCGAAACCAGGAATGAATTCAAAACTGTTAAAGTTTGTTATTTGCCCCAAAATGATGTAGAGCGCTATGGTTATCCACAAGCTACTCAACCAAGTTTTAGACTTGCAAGGTGAAAATATCTTATTGTAGCTATGAGTTTTGACAATCCGCATATATCTGTTGAACGCCGTCAAACCCATAGTCGCAGGAGTTACATATGTGATGAATACATCAACAAACCCTTGAAACCAGCATAAGGCGTCGCCGAACATCCACCGACCGGTAATCAAAGTTACCGATGCCAGTGGCATTTCTACTGTTGCACAAAGAAGATCGCTTGTTGCCAACGCAATGATATACAGATTGATTGTAGATCGAAGCTTAGGGTTCCTGTACACGGCGAAACATACCAAAGTGTTCCCTATTACACTTATTATGTTCATTGTGAGACATGCAGTTGACTCGACGATAACAACTGCTAGGCTTCGCTCTTGTAGCTCCAGCGAAGTCATCTTTACATCACAAAGTAGGCGGATAATGTAACAATGACACTTCGGTGGGTCTTCATAAGCATTATTTTTTAAAATTAGATTGCTCTGCAGGAAATGACGTCATTTGGGAAAGCAGCCAATTTAATTTATCCACGAAATGAGATCCAGATTGAACATTTCCGCCATAAAACTTAAATTTATAACAGTGGTCTCGGTGTTGTGGCTTAAGTGTTCCAATCTGCAAACATTTATCAGATTTAGAAGAACGTGCAGAAGAAGGCAGCTATAAACAGTTCTTTTATAGACATGATATGTTTCATTCAAGATTACTTTTTCTTTGGTCAGCTGTCGCGCGATATCAAGGTTGATTAAACAAAACTACATGGAACCTCACGTAGTTTAAAGATGAAAAGCTGTTTTGTCTGTTAACCATAGAGACACTACTACGATTATCTTGTTCACTTTTATTACATCAGTGAACGTCCTTTCGTTTCCAAGTTGTTACGATCACTTAGCATTTTTCTGATAAAAAAAAAAATTAATCAGCAGCTGACCGAAATCTGAAACGTGTTCCGGCTTTTAAAGATAAAGTTCAATCAAATGACCAACGAAATATCAATGTTACATGTATCCTTTATGGATACTATTTATTACCAAGATTTTACTTCCTGCAACTTCTTTTTCAGATTTTTTTTAAAAGAAAGAAAAATCCTTTGAATTTTGAGTCGTTTAAAATTTAACAACTCAAAATGTACCCACGCACTCTTCAGTAGAAGCCTCTCATTACTCGTTCAATTACTCGAACCGGAAAGTTCTACAATGATCAGTTTTACCTCTTGTCGTGTTCTGATGGATGTGTTATTTATCATCCTTGAATAAGAAAAGACACTATGTTTTAATTTCCGGCCTTTCAAACCTGAGGAAGTTTGTCGCAACCATATTAACGCGCAAATGTGTTTTTGTGATAATGTCTTGATTTGCTGCAAACTTTTTGATCCATTATTCGAGTACTAACAATCTGGTAATACTATGAGTATATGAAGCCGAATGGAATCACGATCGAATATATCCTTGAGAGAGTGGGCGAGCTAATAACACTTATAACTCCCAGAGGTGAAAAACATGTAAAATCTCTTCGTGAGACAAGAATATCATCGAACAAAACCGTTGATAAGAAAGTAGAAACGTTTTAGCAGGAGGGTGTTATAAGTTGATGTCAGTCCAAACTCTCTCATCTAATTTACAAAGGAGTGTATGTTAGTCTAAGAAGGAGTATTAGGGAAAATAGGTCATCAGATATTAATTGACAGTGAAAAGTCATATTGCAACTTTTGAAAGTGCAGATGTCTACGATTTTTTCCATTAGTGATTGAAATACACTGTAAATAGCTATTTTGGGACTTTTTGAGGTTGGAAGTGTTAAAGGAATATTATTCTATGGTAAAAAAATTGGGACCAAACATAAAAGTGAGAATGAAGAGGCTTACCATTCAACTCATCTCGAAATCGACTCATATCAAAAATAAATATTGTCAATTATCGATTTTTAATTCTGGCTAAAATATCTGAGAGCTCCTCAACAGAAAAGCAATTTTTTTGTTATTCATGCCTGATTTCTTTCTTTCTTCCTTTTTTTCGTGTTTTTGTCAAAGCAGAAGGTAATGTCCTTCGCAGCCGATACAAGGTCCCATCAGGCAATGCGATCCCTCCCCTCCCCTTCCCCACACAGGAGAACTCGTTTCTGGGTGAGATCAGATAACGACTGTAAAGGAGACTGGGTAACATTCTGCTACAGATCATTTCCTTAATTCTCATAACCAGGTGACTGATACAAAAGACAAAGTCAGAACACAAAGACATCAGACATTTCATACAAAATCTCTCAGCACACCCTCATGGTATTGCTTAGTCTGCTTTCTTATTTCGTTCCAGATGCTTTTTAGTAATATTTTCCCTATTATTTATCGCTTTTAGCTCTGTGGATTGGTTGTTGTCTTTTGCATTTTGTCTTTGAGGGGGAAAAACGGGACGTTGAAAAAAAGCATCTGTAGTTGATGGAAAGCAATAAGCAAACTAACTAATCTTCTGTCGAGTTTCAACTTTCCCTTGGATTAAAAACTAGTTAAAACAATGTGGTACCAGATAATGTCAATTAAACTTGGGCTTTTTCGTGATGGCACTGCATTTTCGGATCGTTTGTTCATGACGGCAGCTTCTAAATTTATAAACAGCTACCATCTGCCGTTTCTGCCAAAACAAATTTCACAGTTTTGCTAAAAGGCTTTAAGTGATATGGGAAGGAATCTCTAGTGTGCTCGTTTGCTCGCTAAATTTTTTTCCCAGCTCAAACGTATCCGATTTGAAAATCAGGCTGAAAAATAAGGAATAAACAATATTCATTTAGAATTAAGTTTTAATCACCTGCTCTGGGATGAAATTGGGAAAGTGAGTTTAGTTGAAAATTTTGCGGTTCAGGCTTTTCATGCCAATTTTTGTTTCTTTTTCTTTGGGAGTGGGAGCGTTAAATGGTAGTTTGGGCTTGTGAAACAAAATAGTTCATGGGGATGGTTAACGCCAATTCAAACTTTAATTCAGTATATTGTAAATATTGATAAGTTATCTAACATTTAACTGAAAGGGCTTTATTAATTACGCCTGCGATATAATTTGCTTCCCACCTGTTTCCAATGAAAGGATGAACAGGTCCTAGTTCATATTCAGATAGGTAACTGAAGCCTCTCAAAATAACATGACAATCACTCACTAATAAAATTGTCAAGCTTTCCTAGCATCCTGTATTGATGTAAAAGGAAGGTTTTGATATAGACTTAGCATCTGTTTTGTTTTGGTATCAATGGTCTCAGCGGAGGAGGTTCTGAGCTTGAAAGAAGAAAATGTCGTTTTTGTTTTAGTTAAGTTTAATCAGGCGGGGTGAGAGGTTGCTTTTTGATCATGCCTTCGATGCACCTACCTGATCGAAGCTTGGTAGCTGTCATCTTCGAGGCGATTATTTTCCTCACAATGTGCGCCGTAAGTGTCACAGGAAATACTCTGGTGCTTTTGGCTGCGTACAAAAGCCCTAAACTGCGATTGACCACGAATCTGTACATCATAGCTCTGGCAGTGAGTGATTTGGTCTGCGCAACAGTAGAAATGCCGATAGCTGCAACAACAGTAATCAAGGGAAAGTGGAACTTTGGTGACGGAGTATGTCAGTTCCAAGGTTTCGTTGATGTATTCGTTACGTATGTGACTCCTGCGACAATGGGCTTAACGGCGTTTAACAGATACATGCGGTGTGTCAAGACCCACAACTACAACAAAATATTTTCTCCCCGAAAGTCTAAGATTTGGCTGACTTGTGTCTGGATATCTTTGGCATCGTATCTCGTCATCGCCCGAGCGACAAACTGGAATAAGTACCAGTTTATTGCTGGTTACGCCCTATGTAGCGTAACTTTTACAACAAGAGAAAGAAAGTTTGTTCACTACTGCATCGTTTTCGGCTTATATTCCCTCTTACCATTTTCCGTCGCCTGCTTTAGTTATTGGAAAGTTTTCTCCAAACTCCGCCATCACAAACGTCAGGTTCTTCCATCTCTTGAGAACAGCGTTAACCCTCAGAGCCGATTATCTGCGCATGAAATCAACATAAGCCGGGCGTTGTTGTACGTGGCAGCAGGATTTTTGTTCTCTTGGATCCCACTGTGGGTTTTCGCATTTTGGAAGCGCTTATCTCCAGAGACAGTTCCCAGATTTGTAGAGTTAGGTGTCGTCCTTATGTTATTTTTGAGTGCCACAATAAATCCTTTTATTTATGCAGCCAACAGTCGCGTTTTGAGAGGAGAAATTGGCAATTTAATTTGTTGGTGGAAAGTCAAAAGGAGTACAACGATAAGATATGATCACGATAAAAACGCTAGACAAGAAATGAAGCAACTACAGGTTCATGAAGATCGCCGGTAACAACGAAAGAAGTACGGGTCCACATCTAAACTGAACGTTTGTTTCTATTCAAACAGTCTATGCCCGTCGGTAAGCAATGCTCAATATATACGAAAGCTAAGAAATGCAAAACTGAAATACGCGATTTAAATTTATCTACCCAGCCAACTTTACGGGAGGAATTGCATATAAATGTTTATGAAGTTAAATTTACTGAATTGACGCAGACCAATGATAAAGCTAACTAGGGCAATCCGCTAGGCATGAAACGACAAGTGAACTATCTAAATGAGTATTTCTTGAAACTGATTATTCGAAATTCGCTGTAAATATATATTAACACATTAGTTCTTATGGAGATCATGCCTCTACATTATTTACATTCAAGCGTTTAACTATGACGTTTCCATGAACATGTTTAATAATAAAGAACTGATAGCGTTGGTATAAGTAAACACAGCCTCCTTTGTTGACATTGACTAAGCAAAACCCACGAGTAAAGTAAAACCAAGTTGGTTTCATTCGCCGAAATTAAAACAAAACAAATCGAGTCTGTTAAACGCCGAGGTACTTGCTGCCTAATTACAAACGAGGTTGTTGATGTTTTATTTAACGTTTAAAATCAGAAGAAATCAATGAAGATTGGACATCTAGATTGTCAAGTAAGTTTTTATCTCACATCAAATTAAAAAATCTATTATAGTGCAAAAAAAGAAGAGAGAAGTCTGGCCGGATGTTCCATTTCCCTATGCAAACACGGTCACTAAATTTGGAGAGAGGCGGCTTTAATTTGTGTTTGTGTTAGGACCACAGTAGTCGCTGGCCCGTATGTCACGATTTATTGCAGGATAGAGGCCGCTTTAAGGTAACTGTCGCGAGACCTGAACCAAACTGGGTAGTCACAAAGTCCAATCACAAAACAGGAAAATATCAAAGGAAATACAAATAACGGTGAGCGCATTAAACGGCAGGTCCCCCAGTCGGGTATATCTTTGAAATTAATTGATCCAGCGCATGGCGCGAATTTTTTCACCAATCACAGAGCAAAGGAAGGTTGAACCATTACAATCCCTGATTACTTTCAGCCGCGAATCGAAAATTGCGCTTTTTAAATAAAGCAAGCATAACAATATTGTTATTAATACCTGTTTACGCGTATGAATGAAGTTCAGTGGTCAAAGTTGCATGAGTTAAAGAAACAATGTCTCAGTTCGACTTAATTGTAATTCATTTTGGTGGTGTTTAGATTCGGTCCAGTTTTAGAGGCACCTTTCTTCTCACTGCTTCCCCTCTCTTGGACCTTTTTCGTGGCTGTTCCACCATCTGGTTGTTGTACTGTTTTTGCTCTCCCAAGCACAGTTCCATACATCGGATGGTGATCCTGTCTTGTCTTGAGGTGTTATTTTCATAGCCTTGGAAGGTTATTTTTATTTCCCTGTCAGTCCATAGCCGCTCACAGTTTTGTTCACGATTTCACTTTTCTGTTCATTTAAATTCCACATTGATCCGCTTCTCTACTTTATCTTCCTGACTGTTTCCGTTACTTACGGGAGGACCTTTTCTTCCTGTTAGGTTCAATCATTTCATCCACTGATTCATCTCCAGGCGAGGCAGATCTGCCTTCATGATGTCGTCTTTTTCTCTTCGTTAGGGGTGAGGATTCTATAACATAAGTTACTCGGGGGGGTCCGTCATCTGATATCTCTAGCTTCAGATCTTTCATCTCTACCTCTTTTTCGTCATACTCTGCACCTTCGTTTCTCTTCTCCAACAGTTTCCCATTCAATGGATTCTCTTTTTGCAGTATTTTGAACGTTCCTTGCGATACCGGAAGTCGTTTCTCGTTTCCATTGACACTCTCAAGCTCAAACAGGAAGCAGCCAATATTCACACTGAAGGAGCCTTTTTCTGACTGCTCTAAATTGGCGATGAATATCACGAACCTCTTCAAGTTGTAGGTGGGCATGTTGTTCCATACAGTATTCTCGTCTCCTCCGCTTGGCCTGGCGAGACCAAGTTGATGGTGAGAATGCCACTCGCCAATATGACAAACGCCTTCACTTTTTGTCATGTGCGAACCAATCTCCTCCAAGTAGCTGACATCTTGGTAGAAAGAAACTGAAGATCTTCGACAATTTTGGCCAGGACCGACAACAAACTGAATAACAGCGGTGTGTTTTTCAGCCCATAAACCAAACAAATCTCCACCAGTTTCGATGTTCGTTTTCATGAGCACCCAAGCGCAAAGCTGTTTGTAATCTTCTTCATAGATCACAACTTCAAAGTTCCTCTGATGGACGTCTCCCTCCTTTGAACTTAAAAAGGCCATCACTGCAAGTGAAGATTGAACTGTGGCTGGTTTGAAACGTGGTTCTGGTGACTTTTCGCCGACAAACAATGCCCTATAAGAATATCGTAATTTCCGAGAAATTGTTGTGTGACCGTAAACAAACTCGATCGAGTGATAGTGTAAGAGTACTAGACGAACTTTCAGGCTATGCAGACATAGCTTAGAATAAACGTTTTCGGCGTTCTGCTATTTTTGTGCGAGTGAAAGAGGCTTCGAAACTTCAGTTCTGCTAATATTTTTCAGTTTCGTTACAGCCCTCAGGCTAATATGATGATTCTTTTGTGAGATTTTCCTGGAAGAAACGGAAACACTTGAGTGAATGCTTCCGCGTGACCAAAAACAATGAGTTTAGAGCAGTCATTAAAGTAATGAAAATAAAAAAATCCACATAATGCTTTCTCAGTCTCTCTGATAAGGATGACGTGCCCGGCTAAAAAATCAATTAAGTATTTCTTACACCCGTAATAAAGCTAATCAGAGAATAACGCAATACATCATTCCAGAGTCGGTGTGAAAAATTAACATATTCGCATATTCCTTCTGAAAATACGAAAAACTCCCGCCGGATGACAAACAGGTCAAAACAGACCAAAAATTAAATGAATTTGACAGCTTTTTACATTTTGTTGGAACAGTTTCATCTCAGAATCTTTGCGGATTGATTATGCAGCTCAGTCCACAAAATTGTGAGTGATCGTGTGACAATCTTTTCCTGTTTATCCTTCATATTAGTCACGAAAGCCAAATGTTACAACGTGACGTACTGGTCTCGAATTTTATGTAGAAAAAAGAGGCTCCAGTGAGTTTGTTTGCGGAAAATTTGTTTTGCCGGAGCGAGAGTATGTCTGAGCCCTTTTTGCGTTTCGGTGTTGTTTATTCATCTCTTGTTGTTGTTGTTGTTTTATTCAGAAAGCTCCAAATTTAGTCTTACTTGGATTAAAAAAGATATGAGGGTGTGAAATACTTTTCAAAGCCATATATTCCTGCGAGCCCGAACGTGCAAGGAAGAGATGTCGGAGCATCTTGTTGTGGAAAGCCTAAAATCTTGTTGCCATGGTAAAAGTGGATGTTTTTTTTATGACTTAAGGTCTTGTTTATAAATAAAGGAATTGCCCAAAAAAAATTTGCACAATTTTTATTTAATCTAATGTACTCAGTACTCTTTGGGAATTAACATAATCCAGGTTATCAATAATTTCACTAGGTACAGCTTCTGACATTTATGCTATGGAGTAAAACAGATAAAACTTTCCTTTTAAAGTACCGCGATTCAGAGCTTAATACTAAGCATATATTTAATATTAATGATCTGGTTGCTATAGATGCAAATTTTGGACAGAGTCTTATGATTTAATCAGGGAAAATTACCCTAGGCACGTTTCACATGATATTACTGGGCAGGGGGCCCTTTTCGTTTAAGTTCTAGAGAACAAGCCTTAGTTAACATATTGGCCAATCACAAAAAAGTAAAATGGCACAATGAGCCAATGAGAACTCAAAGTGAGGACATGTAACAAGACTCGAGCCCAAGAAAACGCAGGTTACGATGTCTAGATATTTTGCATTGATTGTTAAGAGAGGTACATGAGTTCTCTTGACCAGGGAGAAAAGGAAGTTAAATCTGTGAAATCCTTTTAGCTGTGAAGTGGAAATTGCAGTTTTTGAATAAAGCAAGCATAAAGTGTACCGTTACAAACAGCCATGTTAGTTTGAGTGTAAAGTTCAAAGTTCAACTTGGTTGTAATTCATTTTAATAGTTTTTTGGTCGTAGATTTGGTGGGGCCACCTTTCTTCCCAATGTCGCCTTTTTCGTCGACTTTTTTCTTGGCTCCTTTACCAGCTGGTTTTACTGGTACTGCTTTCCCAGGCACAGGTCTTGACGGCGGTGTTCCTGATTTGTTCTTAGGTGTAGTTTTTGTAGCCTTGAAAGATTTTCCTGGTGTTGGTTGGCTGCTTCCAGCTTTACTGACATCATTTTTCTGCCCTTCCCTTAGTTTGTCCTTGTCGTTGTCATGTGGGTTTTCGGGCTTGTTTGCACCACGATCCGACGTCTGACTCCTGGATTTGGTCTGCTTTTCTTCCATAGGCGCTTCCCCTTGCCCCAACATATTTTTGTTTGATCTTGACGTTTGATCCTGATTAAGCTGATTGAAAGCTTTTTTCGGGTCTCTACCAGGAGGCTCTGCGTTATTTGCTGAATCACTGGTGGCTGTCTTGGCGGTACCTTCCTTTCTTTTCGACTTCCCTTTTTGGGGGTCATTCGCTTGGCTTCCATGGGAATCATTGTCCCCGTTTGAATCACTGGTGGCTGTCTTGGCGGTGCCTTCTTCTCCTGTCGACTTCCCTTCTGGGGGGTCATCAGCTTTGCTTCCATGGAAATCATTACCCTCATTTGAATCACTGGTGGCTGTCTTGGCGGTGCCTTCTTTTCCTTTAAACTTCCCTTTTTGGGGGTCATCTGCTTGGCTTCCATGGAAATCATTATCCTCATCTGAATCACTGGCGGCTATCTTGGCGGTGCCTTCTTCTCCTTTCGACTTCCCTTTTTGGGGGTCATCTACTTGGCTTCCATGGAAATCATTACCCTCATCTGAATCACTGGTGGCTGTCTTGGCTATGCCTTCTTTTCCTGTCGACACCCTTCTTTTGGGCTCATCTGCTTGGCTTCCATGGGAATCATTACCCTCATTTGAATCACTGG